AGACACTGGCATACACACACATACACTGGCATTCATACACTGGCATACACACACTGGCATTCAGACACTGGCATTCAGACACTGGCATTCAGACACACATACACACACACATACACTGGCATACACACACTGGCATTCATACACACATACACTGGCATTCATACACACTGGCATTCATACACACATACACTGGCATTCATACACACTGGCATTCATACACACTGGCATTCATACACACTGGCATTCATACACACTGGCATTCATACACACATACACTGGCATTCATACACACTGGCATTCATACACACATTCATACACTGGCATTCATACACACTGGCATTCATACACACATACACTGGCATTCATACACACTGGCATTCATACACACATACACTGGCATTCATACACACTGGCATTCATACACACTGGCATTCATACACACATACACTGGCATACACACACTGGCATACATACACTGGCATACACACACTGGCATACACACATACACTTCATCCCCAGCCACCCTCCTCTCTTCCTTACCATTTCGTCGCAGGAGGGTGGCTGGGGATGATGGGCATCGGCTGCCTCTCCTCATGCTGCGTCCTCCTTCCCGCGCGGGGTAAAGTGGGAGGAAGTGACCGGACGTCACTTCCTCCCAGCAGCACTTGCTTCCGGCTGCATTTTTTTTTTTTAAAGGGGCCCGGTCGCGCTATTACAGCGCTAAATGGGCCCCTGAAGATAATAGGGCCCATTGGGTGGCCCTAAATGATTGGGGCCACCTGATGGGCCCCATCAGCGTGTGGGCCCCGGTGCAGATGCACCGGCGGCAGTTCCGCTGATCCACGTGGGGCTCAGCTGTATTTTTAATTTTTATGTTATTTTAAGTGATTTCCCTATCCACATTTGTTTGCAGAGCACTTGTCCTACTCTTACCCCCATTGTACTTCCTTTTGCAACTCTCTAGCCCTTTCCAGGAGTTTTTTTAGAGGCATTTTTGTGGCCAAAAGTTCAGGTCCCCATTGACTTCAATGGGGTTCAGGGTCAAGTTCGAGATCGAACCCGGACTTTTTTTCGAAGTTCGGCCGAACCCGCCGGCGGGCCGTTCGGTAGTTTATGCACGAATTGCTGGAAGTCTGGAGGTCTCAGCGGTGTTTGCCTAGTCGAGTAATTCGATTTATATAATTTTTTATGATTACTCTCTCCTTCTTCCTGTTATTTTATGTATTTCCTTTTTTTTTGTTTGTTTTTTTTTTCTTCCTCCTTGCTCTCAAATTTTTGAATTAATATATATATTTTTTTATGTATAGTAAGACCATTCAGATTTACCTACTATTGGTCTATTTATATTTTTATGAAGTAACTTTTATATTTTTTTTTTTTTCCCATATAATAGGATGTGTATTTATATATGTGTATTATACTCAATTAATTATAATGGTATTATTAGTAGGATTAGTAGGATATATGTGATATTTGAGATTATGGACATTTTTACAAAGAGACATTTAGGCAATATGCCTTGGAGCCCATGGACCTTGATTGCAATTGGGACTATGGAAGCTGATACCACTCCCACATAGACGGGTATTTGTTCTGAGAGACGGCAACCACCCGAACGTGATTTGAGGAAGCCGTCAAGGCGAAACGCGTCATCACGTTCTTCGGACGCACAACGTCATTACATGTCAACAGCACCTCCTACTCCCGGAAGCATCTATCCACTGGAAGACCGCAAGTGCATTCCGCGAGTCAGAAGGGGATTTGTACCAGCTTGGCTTCCCAGGGAGAGGGGTGATGATTCACTGTGTAATTTTATACCAATAAAAGTCTTATTTTTATTTGGTGCCGTCCTGCTTGTTTCAAGCACATCTATCTACTTTCCTATAGAATCCTGATGAGAGGATTTGAAAGCTTTTATAGTTGGAGCAGACTTTTTTCTGCTCTACCATTGTGAGTGATATTCTTTTATTATTTTCTGATAACATTTGTAATACAGAGTTACACTATATTGTGTTCTTTTGTTCCTCTATTTTCTATTTTTATGTGGAGCGTTTTAAAGAGATACTCCTTCAAGCGTCAGCAGTTTCTATATTTAAAGGAGTAAGTGCTTTGTTGTTCGAATTTCACAAAGAGCACATGTTCACAGGGTATTTACTACTGGATTAAATTTATTTGCACTTTAATAATACATATATTATATTTGCACTTTATTCACTACTGTTGGATCACTATTTGTTTACAAATTGTTCATATTGTTACATTAGCACTTAAAGGCACAGCGCACTTTTGTTCTTTTTTTGCCTAGTCGAGTGTCCGATTTTAGTTCCAGACACTCGACGGCAAAACACCGCTGTTCGGGAGTTTAAGATGGCGGCCGCCATGTGTTCGTTTCCCGAATGGCGGCCACCCAGAGGACAAAGAACACATTACACAGATTGCCAATTACCCGCTTGCAACAATGTTTCAAGTGGGTAATTGGAGGCACACTTATTCCCGGGTGGTCTGGCCGTTCGGTAGTTTCACTCAATATAATGAATGGAGTGATTCTACCGAACAATCAGACGAATGCTGCATACACATATACAATTTAGCCGAACACACAGAAACATACATAATATAAAAGACATGTCGGTTTTCGGTGATCCTTCAATATTGATAGTTATGGCTCGCTTCAGGTATGATGTGGACCTTTACAGACAAAAGGTCACTCAGGGGTAATTCTAAGCTTAGTGTGTCTTTATGCAATCTATAGCTGTATACGGAGCAGACCCTTCCGTTCCCAAATTACTTATAAATACTGTTTTCCTTAACCATTCTAGATGATAACTTGACTATCACTAAAATAATCCAGTGTCTGAAGACCCAAAAGGCACTGTAATAATATTGTAATAAATGAAACAATGACTCAAATAAATATAAGATAAAAGTGTATTGAATGAATGTTACAGAATGCAAAAATAGTCAGTAAATAATTAATCTTACCAAATGTATTAGTGGCTACAGCATATGTCCCTGTATACCTTTCAGATGTGTGGTGACAGCAGGCAGAGTAAGAGTAGATGGATGAATGAATGAATGGTGAATGAATGACAACGTCACACTCTTTCTCCTTCAGTTAAATAGCCATTTTGTCCTCCATAAAGCAGCCCCCACCTGTGTAATACTCCCAAAAAGGTATTCTAACTTGTTGCAAGATGTAATGTATTGAATATCTAAGTTTGGGATATACCCTAGATGGCTCTGCCTATAGTTAGCTTCAAAATTAAGTGTTTTGTATACATTTGACTGACAACACATGTGTTTGTTCTAATTTAACTTCAACCTTTTAGCTGTTAACCTTGTGGAAATGTCATTGAAAATTTAACTTTTTCAAATCTAAGCAAAAAGGCCTGCAATATTTCATACACCTATGTTATACAGCTAAATGTACATTCATATTAGATATATATATGCACCATACCATATAATACATATATATATATGCAAACTACACATTAAATAATGATCAACACTCCACACTCCCCCACTTGTTTTTCTTCTATGACAAAACCAAAAAGAAAAAACAAGAGAAAAACAGAGAAAAATCAAAAACAAAACAACACTTGTGCCAAAGAGAAGAGAAGAGAAAGAGAGAGGAAAAAAAAATTGAATACAGCAATAATGAAAGCAAAAAAATAAAAATAATCAAATACAAGTGGTACCAGCAGAAACACAGGAATAAGAAACATAACACAGAGTGACGTAGTAAACTGTGTTAAAGCTACATCAAAGTTCTTTAGATATCTTGATTGAAGAAGTCAAAAACCGGAATCAAATTCGGAATTCAAATAGAAGGAATTTAAGCGACATAGCAAAAAAAACATAGTTCATGGAGAGTTCAGAATTAGAGTCCAGGCCGCAGCATGAAATAGAAATTTGCAGCATGAGAAACACCACAAGATAGTGACAATAGAACGGTCACAGCAACCAAACAGGAAGATTGAGAAGTAGGATAACCATGTTAGCTCCTCAATTCCTTAGGTATATGCAAAGTTTAGAAAATATTCAGTAGAAATAATATGCAAAGTCTTCATCCTAGTACCGATTGTACCCATAGACAGCATAGCAGTCAGTAGGAACTCTTGTAGATATAGGAATTCTTCACAACTAAGTGTAATAAAAGCAGCTGGATGTACGTTGACAGAGAAAGTCACTGGTAATAGAGTGTAGCTGGTAAACCTGTCATCAGAATGTACCACTTAGTATTTAACTTAAAGAGACAGAAACGCCCAAGTGCTGTTTAAAAATAAAAGTAAGGAACCAGTTATGACATAGAAGAAAAGCAAAATGGAGATCTAAAAGAAAACAAAAATAATGTAAGAACATGGACACAGAATAAAATCCATAATTAATAAGGAGTGGGAAGCTGAGAGGGATCTAAAGATACAGAATAACCATTTAATGTATATAATGGGAGAAGGCGTTTATGCTTAGACTCTAAGTCTTCCAACACAGTCACCTTTCTACACAGATTACGATGTAAACTTTTGAAATAACAACCACTAATACAGATGAATAAAAATAAAATCAATTGTAAGAGAGAAATAACTACAACTGGATGCAACATTACATTAAAAAAATGTGTAGCAGTATTACTGTATCCCAAAACAGATTCCCACCATGAGGTCTGGCCATCTTACTTAACAGCAACAGAGACTTGTTTAAGAATCCCTTGTTTATGTGTGACAGTAATTTGAGCTTGGTGCAAAACACTCTTTAATGAATTAAGCAATGTCGTAATTGATGTTGAGTCAGTTAACCATTTTTTCATCTCAGAACCCATACCTAGGGGCAAATCTGACATGGAAAAATCAACAATACGTTCCCATGATAAATCCAAACTTATGTTAGTAAGTTGAGGCATAGTGAAGTTCCATACTGAAGAAGCAATGTAAGACACAGGAATGGAATTACACCAAGTGCCAGGCAATAAGTGAGTGCTGAGAAGAGATTTATCCAGTGTTTTAAAAATAATTTGATCAGGCTGAAATAAGTGAAAACAAACACGATCTAACCCCAAGTAGTAGACAGGATTTGTAACATTAAATTGACCATGAAAACTATATTCATCCTGATTAACCCAACATGTTTCAGTAGTAGTTTTATATTGGGATGGAGAACAGAGTGACACAAAGAAATGTCTACAAGGGTCCAGTTAGAACTATCCGTACCCTGGGCTACCCATTGATGTGATAGTTCAGGCAATAATAATGACCCGTTAGACGGTAGGCCAATTGTAGCTAAACGATAAATAATAGCATCTTTGCCTGCCCATGGTATTAATGTATGAATGGCACATTTTTCAAGTGAGCAGTCAGATAGAAGAACTTCCCACCACAAAAGATGTCATCGCAAAGTCAGTCACAGATTTTGAAGCAGCACGACTCAACGAAGCAGGCCATCTACCTGACCATAAACTTTGCAACTGAAGTTTAAGATCGGTAGACAGATCAGCCTGAACCTGTGAACATAGCATTGCCCATGCAGTATCACGAGTAAAATTGTAAACTGAGTCGACCAGAGTGTGAAACTTATCAGAAATAATCTCAGTTGTATCTACCATAACATGAGTTTGATGCTGTTGAAGCTTAACAATATTAGTATTAATACCATATTGGGTATCCAGACCTGTAGAAGTATGAGAGGCTAAAGAAGCAAGTTTATATCTTAGAATTTCCGAATTAATTTGTGCAGCTGATCCCACGACACTACCATATGTACCTAACCCAGTAGCTAAAATATCTCGTCTAGGGTGATGGTGTGATCGAAGTGATACATTATACAACATGCTTTCAAAAAACCACCACTGAAAAGCTCTTTCCTGTACTGATACGAATGGCGTACAATTGGAATATTGTGTGGAAACCAACCATTTATTTAATTGTAAGTGCCAGGTAACCAAACGATATGAAACATCATATGCTACTTGTGTAGCAGAGTCCAAACGAACTTGAATAGGGTCACCTTCCTGAAATGGAGGTGTGGTAGATTCTGGTATAGGCGTAGAGGGAGATACAGAATCTATAGGAGTAGAAGGCTGTGCTATTTCATCAATTCTAACTATAAACTGTGGAATACCATTGTCTGTACATTGCCATTCACCTACAGAATCAGAGGGGTTGGAAGTATTAACCAAAATAGTTGCAGGCATCGCAACAGAATTAGAGTCCTGGACTTCTAGACTTCCACAGGTATTAAGATTATCCATGTTAGCCATAGGGCGACTGTTAGAATTATGAAAAATGCCAGAAGTAGCGGATTGCAAATCAATACTGCATATCAAACAAATATTCTTATCAAGATGAGGAAGTGCACCATATTCTGGAATCAGAAGATGGGTTCTATTAATAAGCCATAGCTGAGCATAGTCAAATTTTGGAACACTAGCAATAAAAAGTGCAACAAATTGTGGGGATGCAGAACTATGAGAAATATGATATATGGGACGGTTAGATCTAACACTATTACGCTGAAAGTTAGACAATAAAGAAAAGATAAGGTCAATGCTGATAGTAGGGTGTGAGACTAAATATATAGGTTTAAAAGGAGCAAGCACTTCATAAGAAGTGACAAGACGCTTCTGCAGATTATGATTATCTGGATGCCAAATGTTAGTAAAGGTATAGAGCAAACAAATCACTGTAACGCATCCCACCAAACATGTCCAAGATGCCATAGTCTAATTTGTAGATTATGAAAACCAACAAAATAATTAGTTATGATCAAACTGTAAATTAATGGCACCAAACTTCAAATATAACATGTAAAAATGTGGATAAAGAGATTGTTACAAAACGTTACTATTTATTATTAGTAAATAACATACATAGTGTAAGCATCACACTAAGAAAACATGCAATACGTGCAGAAAGTAGTCTAGCCAAAGCTAGTTTTGTACATCCGGTAGGACCTTTTTTTTTTTTTTTTTTTTAAATGAAGATTAGATGTAAAGGCGCCGATCATTCATAGTGAAAAGTAGAGTCTGGAACAGCCGTTCTAGAGTCTCAGTCTCTTTGTACACTTTCTGAAAAACAAAGTAAATATAGAATAACACACACAGAGGGCTTTAAGAGCCCTTAAACAATTTAAGATGCATTGCATGCTTGTAGACATTTAAACCATCTGATTTTTGAATAAGATAAACTGAGGGTCCCACTTTGTCCACAATAAGATATGGACCTTCCCAGCAATCTTTAGGAAATTTCCTAGGGTTTTTCTGTCCTTGTTTAAGCATGCACACAGAATCTCCCACTTGGTATTCAGTGAGGTCAGATTTTTTATCAAAATCACTTTTACTTTTTAAGGCGGACACCGCATCTGTGTGCAGCGCCTGTCCTTGTACAGTGGTGAGCCATAGAGAATGTTCTTTGGCCCATTCTTCATTGCATAATGCTACAGAGGTAGATATATCCATAGGAAGCAAAAGGCGTTCCCATGAAGGCATACTGCGACCAAAAAGTACTTCATAAGGAGACATCTGAATATGCCTGTTAACTCTAGATCTCATCCGAGCAAGGACAAAAGGCAGTAAAATATCCCAATTTTTACCATTGGCATTACAGATTTTGCTTAGTTCCTTTTTTATCTGGCCATTCATCCTTTCAACCATGCCTCTGCTTTGAGGGTGATAAGCAATATGGAAATCCCAAGGGAGATCTAACCAACTTGTGATCTCTTTCAGGATGGTATTGACAAATTCACCACCATTATCTGAATCCATTTGTTTTGGAATCCCAAAGTGACAGAAAACATTTTGCACTAGGATTTTGGCAGTTGTGCCAGCTGTTTTGTTAGGGGTAGCAAAAGCTTCAATCCATCGACTAAAAGAGTCAACGACTACCAATATGTAGCGATTTTTACGGGCTGTCAATGGCAGTGTACCTACATAGTCAACCTGTATTCTGTCCCAAGGTCCAGTTGGAGCATGTCGCATTAGTGCTCCACGTGTTAGTTGTCTTGCTGGATCTTGGTGTGCACAAACAATACATCTATCAATGTGATCTTGAATATCTCTTCTCATAGTAGGCCACCATCCCAGTTTAGACATCCTATCCATACATTCTTGTAATTTGGGATGTCCCCCTGCAATGGAACCATGTACCCAAGCCAGCAAACATTTTACCAAATGAGAGGGAATAACCCAGACAGGACCATGTTCAGTGTCTTTGACTAAAATGTCATGCAGAATTTTCAGTGTTTCTTTACCTAACTTAGGTGCCAGGTCATCAAAAAGAGGAGCGAGTACCAAATCGTACTCCTGATGTTCTCGAAGTACAGACCATTGTGTGCCATCATCGTCAGGGGCATACAACTGCACTGGTGCAAGTGGTGTATGATACAATACATCTTCCTCTTCCCATAGTGGAATATCAGGAAGACATGCAGCCTCTTTTGCAAATTTATCAGCAAGACTATTACCGTATGGCAAAGGTCCCTTAGATCTGTGTGCTTTTACCTTGACGAGTTTGATAAAGCCTACATGATCTTTTGACAAATCCTGTATGCGTTCCCATAAGCCTTTGTGCTGTACTATACTGCCATCAGTGGACTGCCATTTATTGTTGACCCAAAACGTAAGAAGAATCAAAGCTCCTCTGAAAACATACATAGAGTCAGTGACTACAAAGTGTGTACCACCTTTCCCAATTTTGTCTCGGATCAAAGTTAGTAGTGCAGCTAATTCAGCAAACTGTGCTCCTGCATTTTTACAAGCATACTGAAACAAATCAAGAATCGTTCTACCTTCAAGAAGTACACCTGCAAAACCTGTCATGCGCTTACCATCGATGACTGATGAACTAGCATCAATGTACCAAACAGGGTTATTTCCCACATCAGCAGTGCTGCCCTCTTTGAAAACAGAATGTGCTTTAGGAGCAATCATAGGATGACATACATGATCCTGACCTTGAATAAGAACACCCAACACATGTACAGAGAGTTCCTTTAACGGTTCCACTGTAATGTGTTCAGTGAGCAGCGTAGTCATCCACCTCACCACACGTTCATTACGAATGTCACTTAAAGCCAAATTATGTTTTTTCAGCAAAAGCAGGGGATTATGATGTGAACGAATCACAATGTGCTGACCGCTGAGAAGATATCTCAGTCTTTGTATGGTCCAGTATGTAACTAGGGCAATTTTTTCACAAGGACCAAATTTCAATTCAGGTGATGTCATTTTGCGACTTAAGTATGCAATAGGGGCTAGTATATCACCATGGTATTGGGCCACTACTGCACCAAGTGTTGTATCAGACACACTAGAGTATAAATAAAATGGTTTGTCTGATGCTGGAGTGCCCAAAATGGGTGCACTAGCTAATGCAGATTTGAGGGAGGAAAATGTCTGTGTATGAGAATCATTCCATTCAAATTTGTTTTGTTTCAGTAGGTCATGTAATGGTTCTGCAAGCAAAGCATAATTAGCAACAAATTCTCTGCAAAATCCTGTAAGCCCAAGAAACTGCTGTAAAGATTTCACATCTACAGGTCTTGGTAGGGAAAGAATATGTTTAACCCTATCCTCAAGAATACTTCTGCCTGTTGGACCAAGTTCCAATCCGAGGTAATTAACCTTCTGTTGGACCAACTGACACTTGTCAGGGTTAAGTTTTAAGCCATGCTTTTTAAGGCATTCCAAAACCTTTTTTAACAGTTTAATGTTACTCTCTCTGGAATCATTAGCTATTAACAAGTCATCAACATACTGAACAATTTTGTTATGCAAATTATGAGACTTTAGAGCTTGAGCTAACATGCTGTGAAAAATTGCAGGGCTATCACAGTAACCTTGAGGAAGAACTGTCCAGCAATACTGTTTAGACTGAAAAGCAAATGCAGTACGATACTGAGTTTCAGGAGTGACTTGTACACTATAAAACCCATTTGCAAGATCTAACACGGTATAATACTGCATTTCAGGAGTTAATTTAGCAATCAGTTCAGGGTAAGAGGCCACAACAGGTGCTGTTCTAAAAACTGTCTCATTTAGTCATCTGTAATCAATGGTTAAACGCCAAGTGTTGTCTTTTTTACGAATAGGCCACACAGGACTCGAGCCTGCAGTTTGGCATGGTCGAATTAACCCACGCTGTAACAATTGGTCAATGATAACTTCTAAATCCTTTTCTGCCTCACGTGGAATTGGATACTGTTTAACATATGGGTGGTGTGAACCATCCAAAGAAACCATTAATTCACGGATTTTACAATTATCATGACGGAAAGTCATGATTTTATTAAAGACACGGAGGCTCCTATTATGCTGCACTCTTTCTTTATTTCCCTCAGCAGCAAAGAAATATTATTGAAAGAAAACATTCAAAACAGGTTTAAACATCCTATAGGCAATGTCTGCCTAGCAACATGACATCCAATCAGTGACATCTTTCCCATATAGTAGGCGGTGCAATGATGACCATTTCCTCTTTCTTGCGACTCCCGAAGAAAACTCAAAACGGAACAGGGATAACCAAGTAAACCAAACGAGCCGTAACACGGCATGTGATTCCAGGAGCACCGTCAATCAGGTCACGCTAAAGAAACAAGAAAAAATATAATAATTTCTTGCAAGTTTGGGTTGTCCGCATATACATAGGCCCCAATGGCTGAGTAAACAGTGTAAGCCTTACACAATCAGTAGTAAGAGACAATCATTGATTTGGGGACAACAGTGCCAAAGTCCCATCAGTAGCTAAAGTCCTAGAGTGATGTAGGTGTGTGATGGTACCACTACCGCCCAATTGGACTTACCTTGGAGAGGTCTGAGAAACTTACCTCGACCCACCTCTGAGCCGCCCGCGGGCGGGTGGGTGGGATAATACTCGCCTCCGTGTCTTTAATAAAATCATGACTTTCCGTCATGATAATTGTAAAATCCGTGAATTTTATTAAAGACCCGGAGGCTCCTATTATGCTATTTCAAAGCTGTGCTATCACGGCTTCTGCGAAATGCTGGATTGGTTTGAAATAGAAATTACGGAAAGTAGATTCTGTGGACCAATCAGCCGCCTTCAAGATATCCTCCAAGCGACAACCCGCAAAGGAGGCTTTAGAGGCCATGGCGCCCCGGACCGAATGAGGAGAGAATATGGAGGTATCAATACCTGCTAAGGACATGAGCCATTTGACCCAGCGTGCCAAGGTAGGAGAGGATACCGGAGCATGTGGTTTCCGGAAGGAGATGAAGAGTTGGGGGTCTGATCCAGACCGAAGGGGTGCAGTACGAGCTTCGTACGTCCTCAGACACGCTACTGGGCAAAGGAGAGGCTGCATGGGAAAAGCTGGGTACCGGACCGACTTAGAGGACGATTTCGTCCTACGTGTTATGTCAAAAACGACTCCTTCTGGGGTGAAGGATCGGGCATTGACATCGAGGGCTCTAACGTCCGATACCCTTTTGCAGGAGATTAGGCACAACAGCATAACTAGCTTAGCTGAGAGCTGTTTTAAGGATAAAGACTCATTGTCTGGCCACCTAGTCAGGAATTGCAATACCAGGGAGACATCCCATAGGGAGGAATAGCGAGGTAGGGGCGGCCTCGCAAAGCGAATGCCTCGGAGAAGACGACAAACCAGTGGATGTCGTCCTAACGGGGTCCCCTCGATGCCGGTATGGCCGGCTGAGATAGCTGACCGGTAGAGGTTTATCGTCCTGTAAGCTTTCCCCGTCTCATACAGGGAGGTTAAGAACTGTAGGACGTTCGTCACAGTAGTTGATAGGGGATCCACACCCCGTGCCATGCACCAACCATCCCATGTGCGCCAAGCAGACTTGTAAGACTGTCTCGTGCCGGGTGCCCATGCGCCCTCGAGAAGTCGGAGAGTCGATTGCGAAACTCCTGCGATTGACCAGGGTCCCCGGAGATCAACCATGCCATGAGGCGGAGGAGGCCCTGAAGGATCAGGGGGTGGGGGGTCCCATCGGGGTCCCGTAGGAGAGATTGGGCATCCGGGAGGAGCCGTGGGTGATCTATGGCCATCTCCAGCAGAGGAGGAAACCAAGGTTGCGCTGGCCAGAGGGGGGTTATTATAACTAGGCAGCCCCATTGGCGTCGCAGATGGAGGAGGCAACGCGGGATAAGGGCGAATGGAGGAAACGCATAGTTCCTGGTGGTTGACCAGTCTTGGGAGAATGCATCCATGGCTGAAGCCGCAGGATCTGGCCTCCAACTGAAAAAGGTCGGAAGTTGGGTATTCAAGCGGGAGGCAAATAAGTCTACCGCCAGAGGACCCCACAGGTCCCCAATGCGCTGGAAGACTCGGGAATCGAGGTGCCAGTCGCTGGCGTCCCGCAGGTGACGGGAGTACCAATCCGCCGTGGTGTTGGACAAACCCGGTAAATACTCCGCCCTGACAGCCATGTTGTGGTGCAGGCAAAACTGCCAAAAGTCTCGAGCCAGATTCGCTAAAATTTTGGATCTCGTACCACCGAGGTGGTTGATATAACGGACAGCCGATACGTTGTCCATCTTCAGAAGGATCGAACACTGGGACAGTGTCGGGGAAAGGCTGCGAACCGCAAAGGACCCCGCTAGGAGTTCCAGGCAGTTTATATGTAGCATGGATTCTGCTTCCGACCATCGTCCGCCTGTGACGATATCTCCACAGCGCGCACCCCAACCGTACGAGCTGGCGTCTGACTCTATGACTACGTCTGGGGCTGAGCCGAAGATGGCTCTGCCATTCCATGCCTCCATGTGTAGGAGCCACCATTGGAGTTCCTTTTTCGCATCCGTGTCCAGAGTCAGAGTGTCCTCTGAGGTACGACGCCTGCAGGCGTTGGAGGGCTCTGTAATGAAGGGGACCTGGAAAGATGGCCTGTATGGAGGCCGCTAGGAGCCCGATCACGCGGGCCAGATGTCTGAGAGATATGTGTTGAGAGGTAAGAACTCGTCTTATCTCTTTCTTGATACTTCTCATTTTGGATGTTGGTAAATACAGGGTTTGTGTGTCTGAATCCACCAAGAGTCCTAGGAACTCTATTTGTTGAGTGGGGATTAGAATGGATTTTTCCCAATTTATAATGAAGCCCAAGTTCTGTAGCAAGGTTGTGGTCCAACCGAGGTGAATATGAAGTAATGATATTGATTGGGACAGTAGCAGGATGTCGTCTAAGTATATGATTAGACGAACTCCCCGACTGCGTAAGAGAGCGATGACGGGCTTCATGAGCTTGGTGAAACACCAAGGTGCGGAGGAGAGCCCGAAGGGAAGGCAGCGGAATCGCCATTTCCTCCCTTGCCATGTGAATTGCAGGAAGTTTTGGTGCACCTGCGCAACGGGTACCGTGAGGTAGGCGTCTCTCAGGTCGAGTTTGACCATCCAGTCCCCTGGCTGGAGTAAATCCCGTAGGCAGTGAATGCCTTCCATCTTGAAATGATGGTAGGTTACGTAGGTGTTTAAGTGTTTGAGGTTGATAACTGGGCGGGATCCGCCCCCTTTTTTGGGGACAATAAATAGATTGCTCACAAAACCCGGGGTATCTATCGGGATTTCTTGAATAGCCCCTTTGAGTGCTAAATCTTGAACTTCCTCGGAAACGAGGGTCGTGTCTGTTGGGGAAAAAACAAGCTCCCTTGGTTGGGAGAGTTGAGTGGGCAGAGATACAAAGTCTATTGGGTATCCTTGGACTGCCCTGAGAATCCAAGCATCTGATGTAATTAGAGCCCAGACATGGGAAAAATGCATGAGCCTGCCCCCTATTGCCACTTGTGAAGAAAATTGAGAAAGGTAACTTACCGTAAGGACGTCTTCCGGAAGGAGTGCCTCGTGCACCTCTCGACACCCAAGGTCTACCTCGTTGAGGGAAGAAGGTCGGGACGGACCTCTGGTCGGTAAAGGGGGGTCTCCCCATATAGGGACCTTGGTTCTGGCGCGAACCTCTATTGGCTCTGCCGGACAGACGGCCCCTTGCTCTGCCGGCCCCACCAAAAACCTTTGGGTGGAACACCCTCTTTAGATTAGATTGTGCCTTGTCCAAGGCTGTGAATGTCTGGACATAGGAGCCCAGGTCTTTGACAAAAGACTCCCCGAAAAGGAACCCTTTAGCTTGGGCTCCCGGCTCAGTAATTGCCATGTTTACAAGTTTTGGTTCGATTTTAATCAATATAGATTTACGGCGCTCAGTAGCCAGAGCCGTATTGGCATTGCCTATGAGGCATATCACCCTCTGAATCCAGCCTCTAATAGTGAGGCGATCTAAGGCTTCGTCTTGCCTCAAGGATTCCTCCACGGCCTCAAAAATTTTGGTCGCTGGACCCAAAATATCCAAGACTTTATCCTGACAATTATAAAGTGAGAAGTCTAGACCCTTCTTGGGTTTCCAACTTGTTTTACTTAAAAACTGAATAATTTTGGGGTCCACCTGGGGTGTTTTACAGACTTCGTCTGGTACGGTGGGACGTGGGCATTCGGCCCTTAATTTGTTACGAGTTGCCTTGTCCAAAGGCTTACGGACCCGAGATGCGACGTACTGCGCCACATGCTCAGCCGGTGACCATTCCGCAGAGCGGGGATGACGTAAGTCGTCGGGTTCGAACAACGGTTCACCCTGTGGGTCAAGGATTTTTCCCTCTTTGTTTAAGTCAGAACTGGGCCCATCAGTGGGACATATCTTAGTGGAGGGATTACACTCCTTAACAGTTCCATAGTCCGAATCTAAGTCGGACAAATCGTTAGACTGATCTGAGTCTAGGGCAGGGGCACTCTCCTCATCTGAACTGAGTTCTGACTCAGTCGAATCGGGCTGGGCTTTAGCCCACTTCCAGTGTCTAGCCGTTTTTGCCCGGCTAGAGGCTCTTTTGCGCGGTGTATCGATATTCGCGCCATCTATGACAGGTGCTATGCTGTCCATCACAAATTTGGAGGAGTGCTTGACTTTAGCTAAGGCTTTGCGGCCGAGGCGTGGGGGCTGAG